GACTACAAACATAATTTGTGCAGTTTTTGTTACTTGTACCACATAGTGGCTGGCTATTACGACTATTGTTTTATTGCTATGTAAATAATATAATATAATATAATATATAATAATCATGCATAATTATATGATATATTAATACATCTTTTTTATTATTATTAATACTACTACTACTACTAATAATAATAATAATAATAACAGCAACTAGTGCTGTCAAACAATTAATCGTGATTAATTGCATCCAAAATAAAAGTTTGTTTATGTAATTTATGTGTGTACTGTTTATTTTTTATGTATATATAAATACACACATACATGCAGTATATATTTATATAATTTATATTACATATAAATATATTTCATATATAAATATAAAATATTTTTCATAAATATATACATATATGTTTATGTATTTATATATACATAATAAATATACACAGTACATACCATATATTATGTAAACAAAACATATTTTGGATGCGATTAATCGACAGCAAATTGACTGCACTAATAAGAACTTTCTTTTATTTACTTTCTGACACACCCATTTCAAGTCATTTTGTTAATTTTAATTCGGAGGCAAATACATTTCCAAACAAACAGTTTGCAAACTAGCCTGATTTCCAAAATAGTTTACTTTGTAATTAGTAAGTCAAATTTGTCCAATCTGATGCATTCAGGTCAATTTGCAAACTGTTTGCTAATAAGATATGTGGCATTATCTAATTGAAAAGGTGATTGGCCAATCGCAACGCATTGCCACCTCTCAAGTGATTTTTCAACTGAATTATCTTGTTCCCCGCTTACATTCATGCTTCAGGAGCTCTGTGAGAACACAATGAGCTCAAAGGAGGTACAAGAAAGCCACTACTCCTCCAAAACCAGATTTGAAAAAAGCTCTGTAAAAAGCTATAAATAAATTTATATTTAGCTTATCAAATAAGCAAAGGCCTGCATCCATCATGCAATTAGTGTAAACTGTGTAAAGTGGCCATTACAAACACCACAAAACAATCACTGTGAATAAAATCTATTTCGATGCTGTTTAAAAAACATTAGCAGACACTGTTCACGGTTTCTCAATTACAACAGCTCATAATAACATGGCTTTCCTGCTGGTACACATCTTCAGAATTATTCCGCCAAAGAGCCTCGTAAAGCATTAGCATGTAGTGGATGTGGCAAGGGATAATAAAGCGCTGCCACGCTAATTAATGGAGTCGTTTGCATGCGTGCAAGGTCTAGATTGAGAGAAGTAACATCTCATTTAAAATGTGATCAGTAAACAGTGTGTATGAATACTGTCATGACACAATGAAAATCAATAAATTGTTATTGACCCGGTTGGTCTAGACCGCCATTCTTCTCGTTAAAATGATTATGCAGCGCTGGACAGTAAAACAGCAAGAAATCAGTCACAAACTAAATGTCTGTAATTCACATGTTTAGTATTTTATGAATGGTAAATGGATCTTTTATGTTCTTCCATCATCATTTACTTACCGTCACATTGTTCCAAACCAGCATAACTTTCTTTTGTAGAACACAAAAGGAGATATTTTGAAGAATGTGCACACTGCTATTTTCCACAAAATGATATCATATAGTAAACGAATGCAACAAATCGAGTTCCTCACATAAAATTACCAGAAGACTTCAGAACATTTTTATGGACCAGTTGTGTCAGTAAGAATTTTTGAAAGAAATGAATACTTTTATCTAGCAAGGATGCAAACTTAACAGTAATGACATTTATAACGTCATACAAGATTTCTATTTCAAATAAATGCTGTTCTTACTATTCAAAGAATCCTAAAGGCAAATGTATTACAGTTTCCACAAAAATCAATGTGTTCAACATTGATTAAAAAAAATGAGCTAATACTAGAATGATTTCTGAAGGATCATGTGACACTGCAAAATTCAGCTTTGCCATCACAGGAATAAATAAAATTTAAAAAAAATAGGTGACTCAACATCAAATTTATTTCATATACTCTTTTGGATCATGAGTAAATGATGACAATTTTCATTTTTGGTTCACCCAATTCGTTCAAAACGGGGATTAAGAAATGAAATGCCGCTGTGTGTTGCTCGGAGAAAAACAGTTCTGCTTTGTCTTTATATTTCCGTTGGCAAAATTGAGCAAAACAGACAACATTGTGTCTAAAATAACACAATATTAACTTCTTATTTATTGAACTGTTGTATAAGATCAGAATCACATTTACACTCGAGTGATATTGCTTAATTATATGATGTAAATATGAGACAAAAACTCAAACTGGGGCATTTTTGCCCCATATCTCGAATTTTTAGGTTATTATAGTATTGCATTTTTAAATTTGTTTTATTTTAATATAGTTTTCAATTTTTCAATAAAATTTAGTTTCGTTTTTATTAGTTTCATTAATAATTTTGTTAGGCTTAGTTTAGTTTTTATTTTGTGAACATATTTCTATTTAGTTTTTTAAATAGTTTAGTTTCAGCTTTAGTTTTAGTAAATAAAGTGTAGCAGATTTAACAGATCACTTCCAAAGTGCAGACCAAAGAAAGACTTAATTTAACCTTAGTGACGCAAACGTCTAGCGACACAAAATTAAAGCATGCTGAGATCGAGATGGAAAAAGTATACAAATATACGCCAAAATGAAGCAGCCATGCCTTTTTACTGCATAAATCTACACAAGTTGCGCTTATATTATCCTATTTAAAAGCAATAAACTGAATGATAAATGTGCATTGTGATATTTAATTAGAAAATAAATGTAATTAGTTTATATTAGATGTCTTTTATCTTATTTAACCATAATCATGATACTGTAACTGTCGTGTCTTGCTCACTTTCCCGCGAACACACGCGCATATCATAACTGGGAATAATGAAATTCAATAATAATTGCAGAGCCTCAACATTCAATTTGCAGCGTTGCGCATTACAGCCATTCGCGCTGCAGATGAAGTGAATGGCAGCTTAGGGAGCACTCGTTGCTCGCATTCTGTAGCATATAGAATTTTATTTTATTTGTTAGTTTTTCAATAACTTTTGTTAGCTTAGTTTCGTTTTAGTTTTTCATTTATTTTGATATTTTTATTTTATTTCAGTTTACGAACATGTTTTTTTGATCAATCGTTTTCGTCTTAGTTTTCGTCTTCGTTTACGAAAATAACCTTGATTCTAACTACGTTCTCTAGGTTCCATCACGCAGTGAGTAGTTGCCCTGCATTATATTTGTCATCAATCAGCTGTATGAAATGCCAGATGACCCACGTAGGTCTGGGGTGGGGCAAGTGCGTTAAATTAGTGCTGGGCGGTATACCGGTTCATACCGAATACCGGTGTTTATTTTTGTTATGATATGAATTTTTTAAATACAGCAATACCGGTGTATGTCGCTTAAACAACGTTCGGAACGCGACACTGTTTGGAACGGGTCCGTTTTCACTGTTGCACTGTGGTGAGGGCACAGCTGTATGTGTTACTAAGCATGAAAGTTCCGAAACTGAAGCTGTAGAACTAATAGAACATGATGACAGAAGAACTCATCCACAATATCCACATTGACCACCACAAATATCCACCGCCCCCTGCCATCAGCTCCCGCGTCTCTCACACACACACACAAGCATGACTTTAGCACTAGATTTAGCAACTTTCAGACCTTTTTAGCGGCTTTTTTCCCATAGAATATTCATACTGACAAACCTAGCGACTTTTTTGGATAAACCTTAGCTATGGTTCAGTTGGAAGATTTCGCCAGTGCTGTCCCGCGAATGCGAGGTCTGACTTTCCCGGAGAAGTGTCACCTCTCTCGGCGTCTGTTCTGTGCAGTGAGCGGCAGAGAAGCAGCGCATTCAGTTGGCCGCACCGCAGCCGACTCGTCAATAAATGAGTACAAAACAGCGTTTCCTAGCACCTGTCGCTTACTGATTGTTTGGAATTATAAACATGAGCGTAGTTCGTCTGTTAATATCACATGCACTTCTTTGTTTGTTGTTTTTTTTTTAGTTTGTTTCTCAGACGCAGGCAGTGCGCTGCATGAGACAAAAAAGTAATATAGCCAAAACAACCTCATAGCTGCTCTTTAGTGTAGATGCATGTTGATTTTATCACGATGCCACGATTATAAATGAGAGTGACTCCTGGTTAACATGTATTAAAAAGGGGTCATGTTTAGTCACGATTTAGTGTGGTATTTTTTGACAATTTAGAAAAATACTGTGATATAAATTTTTGGTCATACCGCCCAGCACTACGTTAAATGTGTAATTTTAACACGTTATTTTTCACCGCAATTAATTAATCTAATTAACGCATTGACCCTAAACTTGTAAAAGGGTATTGTTCATGACACTCAAATCAACAACAACACCTTTTTCAAACCTCAGTACATTAAGCAGCGCTAAAAGCGTGTCTCCACCAGGAACAAGAGTATCACTGAGGGAAAGTGAGAACCACTACACAACAAGACCTTCTTTTATTCTCCGCCAGGACCACAGAGACTTCTGGAAGGAGAACGGTAAGGACTTGTGACTAGAATTACTGACACACTTTTCCTTTGAGTGTCGAGCTAATCTGGGTTTAGTCATGATTACGTAAGCCATCGCTTTTTCCCATGTCTCTGGGCAATAGTAGCGCAGCTGATTTTCAGTCCTCTTTGTTCGGAAGGAGACACTTGGACGCAGATTTTAGTATCACCAGTTATAGCTGCTGCAATCACACATGACCAGCTGTGACATGCCCATATTTTCACAGTCTCTCAGATGGAAAAGCAACTAAATGTATCTTATGAGTGTGAAATTAACATTTATCACTTCTTTCCATGACACCGCTGGTACTCCGATATCCTTATCAGAATATGATGTCTAAGTTTAAGACATTTAAGAGGTAAACTTGTTAAAAAGGGAGGTTCTTAGCTGGAACAAGCTGATTATGTGGGCCAGACTTTTTGCCATAAGTCAGAAGTATGGTTATATGAGTTTGGGTGTAGTTGTCGTACCTGTGGCAGTGCGGAGCTGAGCTGACGCTGCAGTGAGTCCCGGTCATAGATGACGTCCTGCAGGTGCTGCTGGGAGAGGGCCAGGCTTTCTTGTGTCTCTCTCAGGGTGTCCAACAGACGGTCTCTCTCGTCAAGCATGTTGACCATCAACTGCTCAAAATGCGAGTCAGGGTCGGAGGCGCTGCTCTGGGAGCCACGCTGGCTCATCGCCGTGTCCTCGCTGATCGTGGGCATCACTTCGCACATCATCTTTACCTGCTGAAAGAGGATGAATGCTTAGGAAACCCATGGAAATATCTGTAAAGCTGCTTTAGATCATTGTGTATTGTGAAAAGTGCTATATAAATACATTTGACTTGTCTTGACTAGGCTGAAAAGATTGTCCAAATTTGAGACCAGTGTTAATAATACTCTTACACTATAAAGAAGCCACAAAATCCTCAAGTTTATTCATATATTTATTTTACATTACTTCAAAGGTAAATGACTACAGACATAATTTGTGCAGCTTTTGTTACTTGTACAGTACCACACAGTGATTGGCTATTACGACTAGATTTTTACTATTATTTTAATGCTACGTTAATATAATATAATATAATAATAACAGTTTCAAAAAACATCATTACATCTTAATAGTAGTGGCAGTAATAGTATAATAATTATAATAAAGTGTATATATAACAATATAATAATAATAATAATAACAATGATAATAATAATCTTATTATTAATAACATAATATAATAATAATAATAATATTATTATTATTATTATATATTACAATAATATTATTATTATTGGTCGTTTTGAGACCAGTTTTAATAATGATGAATTTAAATAATAATATAAATTAAAATAACAACAACAATAATAATAATTTGCACTATTTAGATTATTTAATTTATTGTACTATGGTACAGCCACATTCATTTTTAAGCTTTAAATAAATAAAAAAAGGATGCAAAAACTCATGAAAATACACGCATCAAACACACATCTTCAAAATTAGGTAAATAATAATAATTAATTGAGGTTTATGTTAATTCAAAATATATATACACTACCATTCAAAAGTTTGGGGTCAGTGAGAATTTTTTAAAGAAATCAATATTATATATTCAGCAAGGATGCAATAAAATGACCAAAAGTGACAGTAAAGACATTTATGAAGTTTAAAAGTTTTCATTTTCATTTTCATTTTCGTTAAAATATTTTAAGCTTTAGTAATGTTAGTACTTCAACTTATTTCAATTAGCTAACAAGGCAGCATTTCTAAATTTCAAATTTTAAGTTTAATATTTATTATTTCACCTTTATTTCAATTTACAAATTATTATTAATAGCTTTCATTATAGGTAACATAACATAACATAACATAACAATAAAAGTGTGAAAAAATATTATTATTATTATATATTACAATAATATTATTATTATTGGTCGTTTTGAGACCAGTTTTAATAATGATGAATTTAAATAATAATATAAATTAAAATAACAACAACAATAATAATAATTTGCACTATTTAGATTATTTAATTTATTGTACTATGGTACAGCCACATTCATTTTTAAGCTTTAAATAAATAAAAAAAGGATGCAAAAACTCATGAAAATACACGCATCAAACACACATCTTCAAAATTAGGTAAATAATAATAATTAATTGAGGTTTATGTTAATTCAAAATATATATACACTACCATTCAAAAGTTTGGGGTCAGTGAGAATTTTTTAAAGAAATCAATATTATATATTCAGCAAGGATGCAATAAAATGACCAAAAGTGACAGTAAAGACATTTATGAAGTTTAAAAATTTTATAAAGGTTAAAAATATCTCTATTTAATTTCAATTATTTAAAAAAAGTGTGTCAGTTTCCACAAAAATATCAAGCATTGATATTATTGATAGTAATATTTCTGATGGATCATTTGACACTGAGGACTGGAGTAATGACTGCTGAAAATTCAGCTTTGCCATCACATTACATTTTAAAATATATTATAAGAGAATTTCTAAAATTATTTTAAATTGTGAAAATTTCACAATACTACCGTTTAACTGTATTTTTGAACAAATAAATGCAGCCTTAGGAAGAACAAGAAGCATCTTTCATACTCAGTAAAAAAATCTTACCAACCATAAACTTTTGAACAGTATGATATTCTCAACACTTTATGTACATAAACATACTGCTTTTGTCTGTCAATCACTTTGGGTCTATCTGTAAAAGCACTGAACTGCTCAGAGCATCTGTGAGAAGACAGCATGTAGACTGTATGTACATAGTGGTGATGTGCGTCTGCTCCTGTTAGACTCAAAGCTGTCAGGATTGCGGCGGTTGGTAGCTGTAGGGGAGACGAGCATTAAAAACACGCAGGGCCACAGAGCTCCATGCCTGGGCTGTGATGATACAACACAGGCGGAGCGGGTGGAGGAATCTCCTAGCAAGGACGAGATGTGTTTATCAACAGAGTGAGAACAGAAAAAAGCAGATGAACAGAGAAAGACAAAGTCTTGGCAAGTAAATCTTGTATGTGTAAGTGTATCACTACATACCGGGCGTCTCCGGTCCTGTTATTATTAACTATACAGAAAATGAATCTGTCCAAATAGTGTTGTAGAGTATACGTGTATAGGAAAGCAATGAGTTCATGGGAGGGTGAGCTTCCTGCACTCTAGATTTCATGCTTGTGCCGTTTACTGGACCAGAACGCATCATTTCCTCTGCTGCTTATGTAACACGGTGCTCTACAGCTGTGTTGTACCGTCTCCTGCAGCACCATGACCCGGTACAGACCACAACCACCACCTGTGCCATTTGTCTCAGGTGGCTTATACATTACACCCTTACAGAGGATGGCAACAATGTAAGCACATACTCAAAATTAGGGGTGTTAAAAGATGTGCGTGGCATTTGTAGCTTCTGAAAAAAGGAGAGCAATTTTCTCAACAAGAAAAAAAATACTGGATAAAGTTTGTAGACAAACTTTAAGTTGGCTTGAAAACGCCGAGCCAGAAACTTTGAAATAGTTTTAAAAGCTTGAGGTTTGAAGGGTTTTTTTGTTTGTTTGAAATAGTTACGCTTTAATTTGGTCGTTTTAAAAGCTAAAAACCATCTAAAACCAGCTGATTTAACAAAAAAAAAACTAAAACCCAGCTGGTTCATCAAAAAAACAAAAACAAAAAACGGCTAAAAACCAGTTAATTTAGCAAAAAAACAGCTAAAACCATCTAAAACCAGTTGATTGAACAAAAAAACAACAAAAATACAGTATGTGGAAAATACTGTGTTTTTTTAACCTTAAACCACATAAACATTTCAGTACACCAAATACACAAAATAATGTTCTTTTTAGCAGCATCATATGACCCCTTTAAGACGTTGATGCTTGCATATAGAACAGCCACAGGCTCAGCACCCGCCTACTCCCACTCACTATTACGAATCTACATCCCCTCCAGAAGTCTGAGATCCGCTGGTGAGTGACGCCTCGTGGTACCATCACAGAGAGGCTCAAAATCACTTTCCAGAACATTCTCGTTCCCCATTCCTGGCTGGTGGAATGATCTTCCCACCCCTATCCGGAATGCTGAATCCCTGACCATTTTCAAGCAACAGCTGAAAACTCATCTCTTTCAACGATAGTTTACTTCATCCTAAATTTAAAAAAAAAGTCTCTCTCTTTATTTATTCCTTCCCTTTCTAGCTTGTACTTATTTGAACGATGCTTGAAACTTGGTATTGCAAGCACTTCCTGTGTCTGTTTGCCTCTTTAAAAAAAAGAATCGCTTTATGTATTCACCAGTTGTAAGTCACTTTGGACAAAAGCGTCTGCAAAATGACTAATTGTAAATGTGTAAATGTAAAATTTTTATATATTTTTACTATTTAAATAACTGTTTTCTATTTTAATATATTTAAAAATGTAATTTATTCCTGTGATTTCAAAGCTGAATTTTGAGCATCATTACTCCAGTCAGATCCTTCAGAAATCATTCTAATATTTTGATTTGATGCTCAAAAAACATTTTTTATTATTATTATGTTGAAAACAGCTATTTCTTTGATGAATAGAAAGTTCAGAAGAACAGCATTTATCTGAATGTGTACAAAGCTTTCTGAAATAGGACCCCTTACTTAACAACAATTAGAAAAATCACTTAAAAAAATTAAATAATAATAATTTCAAAAACAAATTAAACAAATGTACTAACAAAATTCTCCTACTTCTCACTCTACTATCTCTACTACTATCTAGAAAGAGATTTCTTTGAAAAAATATTTTGACAATAAATTGCAAATTGCAGAGCAGAAATTGTAACATTTTGCTAATTTTGTGAATTCTCTGTAACATCAAACTGTCTCAATTTTTGTCAACACTGCAGAAAATGTCAGTTGCTGAAGTTTATTAGCACATGTTCCTACATGCTCCAAATTCAAACTCAACTGAACCACCAAAAACAAACGAAAGCAACTGCATCTTTGTGATCTATACGAAGCTCCATGAAGAAAGAAAAGGGAGAAAGGAAGAAAGAAAGAATGACGCAGCAGGATTGGAACAGGGGAAGAGAAAAACCATTACAGCATCTTAAGTGAAGACTCCCCCATCTATATTTCATAACGCCAAACAGCCACTAACATCAGACATCAGCAGCGAGGCTGGAAAGACTTCTATATACATAGCGGTATTCAATGAGCATAAAGAGCAATGGAATCCTACGTCCCATTTGGGCAATAATTGCTTTATGATGGTTTACTTTGGACTGATCCAACAGGGTCAGTAATAGTTCTGTTTTTATATTGCTCAAGGGATCTACGGCCTTGTTCTAGTGCAATTACGCCACATTTTGGTAGCAAAACGGGTTAAATAAAGGTCTTAAAATCCATTATGTATCATATATTTTGTTGATCAATCCCTTTATGATTGGTTAATGAGCAAACAGAGCCAAAAAATCCAATAATGAACTGTACCAAGTTGAAAGTAGGGGATTTGTGAACAGTGATGGTCCAAGCGTGTGGGCTGGACTGAATAAATGAACAAAGGAATGGATTATTGACTGGATATTTGGCATAACATCCTGCAGTGAAATTTAAAGCAAATGGGCACAAACCCAAGACTGCTCAATGGCACAATTGGTCTGAGAGTACTGTACACTGTATTTTAAACCCACATTTCAATCAGAGTATTGAGAGGAGCACAAGACAATGCCCAGAGTAAAAGCCCCACTGATGACAACAAGAGCGATCATATTCCACACACACTGTCTGAATGAATGCATGGCTGTGGGGGGAGGGAGAAAGACAGAGAGGTACAGATTGAGAGGAAAGGGAGGGCTGAGGTGAGGGAGTTCAATGAAATCTGTGGATTTTGTAGTGATACAAGACAGGTCAAGAATAATGGAACTGCACCAACCACGGAAATTATGATGCTGCATTTGATATATAGTGGGCTCCAAAAGTCTGAGACCACTAGTAAAAAAGCTTCTATTTATTATTATTAATGCAACTTCATTTTTGAGAACATTTTTGAAAATGTCAAGCTGTATGAACTCCATAAGTTTGTTCACATGGTCAGTGTCTCACATTTACTTTCATTTGATTAGTGACTTGCATTATCTTAAACATTATATATAATCTAAAACTTTTTATTATTTATTTTAATTATTTACATTTGTACTAAATACATAACATGTAATATATATATATATATAGACACAGGGTGTGTGTGTGTATATACAGTATATATATATATTATTTTATTATTTAAATGTTTTTGTTTATTTGTGGATTTAAATTAAATTTTTAAAACCCAGATCTTTAAGTGGTCTCGAACCAGACCCCACTGAGTGTTCTTAAAAATTCCATTATGATTAAATACATTTTTATAATGACTAGATAATTTAAATATTTAATTATTTTTATATTATTCTTATTGTATTATTTATTTATTTAGAATTCAATTTGATTTTAAATATCAGCTCTACAACAGTGGGCTCAGTCTGGACTCCACTGTGTGCTCTTAAAATTTCTTAGGACATTATATTATATATTTACAATAATAATAATAATTTACAATAATTGAGATTTAAATATGATTTTATATCCCAGGTTTTCAACAGTGGTCTCAGGCTGAACCCAACTGTAATTTTTCACTGCCATAGAACCAACCCGCGCACATTCAGTGGTGTGAAAAAGATCCTTTCCACCACACACCCCCTACCAAGGTCATACAAACCAGCTGTACATTTGATAAAATACAGTAGAAATGGCGGTGGTAGCCTTTACACACCAGCACAACCAACAGGGTCAGTGGGACATCCTATTCTCGGCCTCTCTGTCTACAGTAAGGACCATTAGAGGCAAGAACACCAGTGTGGCCACCACAATTCTCCATCAATAAGACACAATCATGGCTGCCATTACAATAATTGAGATTTAAATATGATTTTATATCCCAGGTTTTCAACAGTGGTCTCAGGCTGAACCCAACTGTAATTTTTCACTGCCATAGAAAAAGATCCTTTCCACCACACACCCCCTACCAAGGTCATACAAACCAGCTGTACATTTGATAAAATACAGTAGAAATGGCGGTGGTAGCCTTTACACACCAGCACAACCAACAGGGTCAGTGGGACATCCTATTCTCGGCCTCTCTGTCTACAGTAAGGACCATTAGAGGCAAGAACACCAGTGTGGCCACCACAATTCTCCATCAATAAGACACAATCATGGCTGCCACGTTAAATGTTTAGTGTCCACAAAGTAGTCAAAATTACTCGATTTGAGGTTTGAAAGCTGATGCTATGTGAGTGCTATATGTTTGGATATACATATATAACTTTTGACGTTTACTAGAAAATGTTTTAAACTTTTAAAAAAAATGTACAGAGACACAAAATTGCTTTAATAAACATTAAACATGATGTGATTGTATGACTGTCTTATCAATTTTAGCACAATATTGCCTAATGTAAAATATTACATATTACACTCTAAAAAATGCTGGGTTAAATACAACCCAGTGCTGGGTAAAATAGGGACAAACCCAGCAATTGGGTTGTTTTGACCCAGAATTTTTTTTAGAGTGTAGCGTTTAAATTAATTGTGTGTGAGTAACACTAACATCACTATTAAATGTGTCAATTAATTCTTCACATTTAAATTAAAGCTGCATTCTGTAATCATTCAAACATGCTTTAGTACACCATTAGTACTACATTAGAGCACCACGTTCACATTCACACAGTCCTCCGGCACATGTGAATAAGGTCCATTACAGCCTGACCACAGGCGAGGGGGATTTGCAGGGACAATTCCCGTGACATGCCCACTACACCTAGCAAGCTTGCATGTTATAGTGATCTCATCGCTTTCAAAACAGCCTATCCTGCTGCTGTGACTCTAATTGGAGAGAATCCTCAACCATTGTCTCAAGCGCATTACATCATGCCTGTCTTTGCCTCTCTCTCTCCCTCCCTCCTCTCCCTTTCATTTCTCTCTGTCAGTGTCTTCCATTGATCTATGCACCTTTTCCCTGTATGAGATATGAAAGATTATCATCAGCTCCCAAGAATACACATGCATGCATTCATTCATGCATTCATTCCCTCACACATTCAATGATCTCTGTTACTACAACAATACCTCTCACATCTGTTGGAAGTTTCCTTTCACCAAAGAGGCATTTCCGAATCACCTTGAGAATGGTGCACAAAGAGTACTGTAATTTTACAAGTCGGAAACAATGACTGTTGCACTGTACTGAGTACGGGTTGTCTTATACTCACTATTCACTGTGCAATATCAATGACAGCTGCAATCTTAAGCGTGAGCGCACAGCTGCTCCAATCATCCGATTCACTACAAGGAAGCTTCACTGGCCAAAATCAGCGCTGCTCCGGCGAAACCCGCATGGATGTCCAGCGCTGGCATCCTCAGAAACGCGATACTGTCCCGTATATCGATGACATTTTGATTTCCAGATATGCCCATTAGTAATAAAATGGCACGTTAAGGATTCAGCGGCGAGAGCAGCGGTGGATGGTAGAGACCATTGTTCGAGAAAAGAGGGGGAGTTCGCTTCTGTCTTAAAGTTGCAGCTGTGCAATTTCCCAACGAATAGTAGGATCTCCACATTTACGCATGGACATGTCTTGTTTAATTAACATGTAGGAAAATTCGAATATTTAGGAAACACCGTCTTAATGAGGTTAAAATGACTACTAAACATAGAACTATGCATTATGTAAATACGGCGAACGGGAATGTTTCAGTGCGTCTTCGCAAAAAAATATTTTCGGACAAAAATCTTTCAAAAATGCTTTCGGTTCACAAACACAAACCTTAGATTCTCGACAGCAGGGGAGGAATGTATAGTCAATATTATACAAATATATTAATAAAAATAAAATAAATAGGCAGATAGAATTCTTGATAGAATTATGGACAGATAGATAGATAGATAGATAGATAGACAGACAGACAGACAGACAGACAGACAGACAGACAGATAGACAGATAGATAGATAGATAGATAGATAGATAGATAGATAGATAGATAGATAGATAGATAGATAGATAGATAGATAGATAGATAGATAGATACGTATATCGATGACATTTTGATTTCCAGATATGCCCATTAGTAATAAAATGGCACGTTAAGGATTCAGCGGCGAGAGCAGCGGTGGATGGTAGAGACCATTGTTCGAGAAAAGAGGGGGAGTTCGCTTCTGTCTTAAAGTTGCAGCTGTGCAATTTCCCAACGAATAGTAGGATCTCCACATTTACGCATGGACATGTCTTGTTTAATTAACATGTAGGAAAATTCGAATATTTAGGAAACACCGTCTTAATGAGGTTACCCGACTCCATTAAAATGACTACTAAACATAGAACTATGCATTATGTAAATACGGCGAACGGGAATGTTTCAGTGCGTCTTCGCAAAAAAATATTTTCGGACAAAAATCTTTCAAAAATGCTTTCGGTTCACAAACACAAACCTTAGATTCTCGACAGCAGGGGAGAAATGTATAGTCAATATTATACAAATATATTAATAAAAATAAAATAAATAGGCAGATAGAATTCTTGATAGAATTATGGACAGATAGATAGATAGATAGATAGATAGATAGATAGATAGATAGATAGATAGACAGACAGA